TGTATGCATATGTATGTGTATGTATATGTATGTATGCATGCATGTGTGCGTGTCTGTGTATGTGTGTTTGTGTTTGCGGTGTGTTTGCGTTGTGTGTGTGTGTGTGTGTTTGTCTTTGCAGTGTGTCGGTGTCGATGCATTCGCCTGCGTATGCTTGTGAAGCCCGATTGTCTTGTCTGGCTTCAGCACGGTCGGTTTATCAAACTGTATGTGTTTAGAGTGCAGAGACCCAAAGATGAACAGAACAGAGGGGGTAGAAGGAGCCGTGCGTAGACAAGAAGGTTAAAGGAAAACAAGCTACCAAGCTGTCTCCATCGTCTTTAGTTAGACTCTCTTTGTCCTGCATCTTGCTCCGTCTGTGCATGTGCCCGGCCTTGACCGCAAACCCCGGACACAATATGAACCCTAAACCGAAACCCTAAACACTAAGCCCCTATCCCCCAGACCGGCCTAAAGCCAAGCTCCGAACCCAAACTTTTCCCTCTAACCCACACCCCACATGCTTAAATCTAACAGAGTTTGCTAGGTTTGCTGCAGAATGCTGGCTTGGCGCACGCCGTAACATGAAGCATTAAGCATGTTGGAGGAAATACTGAATATGTTTTGTGCATTCGTACTATTTTCATCATGGGATAATGCAGGACCCTATAGGCCATAGGCCCTCTGGAGCCTGAGACACCGAAATGGCCACTTGGCCCGCCCGAGTGCCGAATGGGGTCTCGCATACTGTTGCACGGTCGAGGTGGGGTGAACATTTCGTGTGTGAGGGGGCCATGGTCTGTCAAGTGACATGTTCGAAGGCTTACTTTGCTGTACTGCCGCACGATAGGAGCGAAAGCATTCAACAATATGGGTTATCACCAGACTCCATCGTCAGGAACAATATTACACACAAATCACAAAATGCTGCTCTTCTCTGCTGAGCCGACGATCACCCCAGAACAAAGCGTGGAATACCTTGAGGATAGCAATCAGAGCGCTGTGCATTTATAAAAGGGTCGAGGGATTGTGAAGGAATAGTGTGAAGTGTGTCAAACCTTCTTCGGGATGGACTTTCCCAATTCCTTTAAACTCATACCTGTGCTTATGCAGATGCCTACACCCTGAACCCTACGCCCTCAACTCTAAACCCCAAGCCCAAGGCCCTAAACGCTGAACCCTAAAACCC